TATATATATCGTAACACAGGTTACTCAATAGGGGGTGAGGGTGGAGAAGGGGGGGGGGGGGGGGGGGGGGGGCGAAGACGAGAGAAAAAGAGCGAGCAAAACTGGAGGGCGAGAGGCTATTTATTTCTCGCTCCTCGCATTTTTCCTTGCTCTCTTTCTCTCGTCTCTCCTCCCCCCCCCTAGCTTCTCCCTCCCTCGCCCTCTCCCATAAATGGCGCTTGAATCAACAATGAATTATAGTTCAAATATAACTAATAATGAAATCAACTAACAATGCGATAAGTTTCGATAGCGAGTCAGTTTTAACAAATTCAACCTGATTTTAATATATCGAATAAAAGGTCTGCAAATTGCGAATTTAAACGTTATCGGTCTTTTAAACCATATCCATGACTAGAGTCGTATCTTGCTGTCTGATAACTCATTTGACATTTTGGCCATTAATAAAACTAATATCGACTCCTCAATTTCGAATTTGGATTCAAAAATTCATAATAATTATTCAATTGTCTGTTTTGAAATCATTCAATTTGTCCCAATCTTGATCCATCCGTCTATGCCTGGGCGCCATCAGACGTTGCTCATTCGTCGTCCTTTTCAAGACCTCAGCACGTCCCTGTCTATAGCTGTTGGCATATTCGAATATAAAATACATATAAAGTTTTAAACACATACCTGTAATATAAACGCAATTTCAAAATCAGCTATCGGCCGGTTCCAGAAAATTTCAGTCAAATATATGAATTAACTTACCAGTCAATCGCAATATTTTCGGGATTTTGCAAATTAGTTGCATATGACAATTTGTAATCAGAAAGGTAGATTTAAAATCATTTCTTTTGTTGAAATATGTATATAGAAGCTTTAATAAGTCGACCCAAACCATAAACTTAATAAGTTAGTTTCTAGACCAAATTCTTCCTTAATTCATGATTTACGTAAAGAGAAAAACTTTTTTACTCCGGAGTTTTCTACAGACCGTTTTAAAACCTCTTTTAACGTTAGTCCCCGAGCCAACGGCGCGAAGCGCCGTGCGAGGGTACTAATCCCCCCGCCTATTTACACCCGGGGAAACGAAAGCATTAGCGATGTCTAAAGTTCATCAATGAGCGCGGGCGTCGGTCACCAACGATGGGTGGTCATCCTCACTGATCTCAAAAATATGGCGGACTGTCATGAATAACGGACACTAATTGGTCCAATTTAAAGTTTGCATTATAACGACTGCATCATGACGACAGCGAAATAGCAAACATTTCTTGATTTGATGATTGATAAATTTCTTGCAAATATATTTCATTTTTGCTCGTATTTCTGCAAGATTTTATAAATTTCAAGAAAGAAAAGGCGAAAGAATCGGCTAAAAGAAGGGAGCCGACGTTATAACGAAGGTAAGTTTGTTTTAAATATTGATTTTATAATGGCTTTAAAACCCGACGGCTTTTGCGTATATGAAACAACTAAACAAGACAGCATATAATTTCAATGTATCTTTAATATTGATTCCCTTTTTTATTATATTGAATTTTTTAAATGAAAAATAAGTAAAGTTATTTGCAAGCAAGAATTTGAAATAATTTTATTGCAAACTCAAAGTTTATCGATAAAGCCATTTAATAGCTAGAGGCAGTTTAGTTTTATAAAGAACACTTTGGAATGTTTTGTGAATTGTTTGTGGTTGAATTTTACCTTAAATTGAAGCTTGTATTACGTATAATTACCTACATAACATATATATGTTGGGAAATTGATAATTTTGTAATTGAAAGTGATATTTTTAGGCGATTTTCATTTGTAAGAATGTTCTTAAAAAATTATCTTGTTACCATGACAGCTACTTTAGATACTTCATGTCCGGCAAATACAATGGTTTTGTCAGCAAGGCGAGGGTTTCTGCATGCATGTATTTTCTAGTATAGTTCTCTTAATACACGATGCCTATCAATCTATCTGTCCGTCCATCCATCCATCTAATTCATATTCCCAACTAATCAAATCTTAATTATCTTTTTACAGAATTTCAAAAGAATAACCATGATCGCAGAAGTTGTCCTCTCCCTATTTCTTGTGTGGTTTGTTCGATATCTTATCATTACCTATTTAAAAAGAAGAAATATGCCACCTGGACCCTTTCCATATCCTTTCATTGGCAACGCTCCTCAAATGATGTGTGACCCTGTGAATCCTTTCGCCAAGCTGGCCGAAAAATTTGGAGATATATATATATACTTACATTTCCAAGTGGGGACGCTATTGTTTTAAATTCCGTTTCATTTATACGCGATGCACGACTTGGGAGGAAGGATGATCTTTCAGGGAAAAAACGGGAGTCGGTTTATCCACAGAATTTGATATTTAGTGAAAGGGGATTTATTGCAGCCGATTTTTCACCAGCTTATTTATTTCGCAAGCGAGTATTTGTATCTGCATTACATATTTTTGGCAGCGGTATAGAGCATGCTTCGAAGCAAGCTAGAAAAGCTGTTGATCTTGCGATAGAAGAAATTGACTCGAAGCAAGGTCTTCCTATCTCTCCAAAGAATCTTTTCGCGACCTCGATATCGGCACAGCTTTGGGTTTGGCTAACCTCCAGTGAAGTATCATTAAATGATCAAGTTATCAAAGATATCATTAAATTGGGAGATATAATGGGACAGACAGCTCTCTTTGCTACTTTGTATCAATTGCTTCCAATGTTAGTATATCTACCAACACGATTCAGCCGACGTTTAAAGCGAGCTCAGCAGCTAAAGAAACGAATTTGCCCTCCGGAATTCAAAGCACACAAGAAAACCTTCATGCCCGGTGTTATCCGCGATATAACTGACAGTCTTATCAGTGCCTACGAAAAAGAAATTGCCAAAGAAACATCAAAAGACATTGGATCAATTGAAGATATTCCTGGTATAGTGTTAGATATCATCCTTGCTGGGTCTGAGACAACTTCGTCGTCAATGAGTTGGTTTATGTTGTATATGATTTTAAATCCAGATATGCAAGAAATAATCCAGAAGGAGATTGATTTGGCAGTTGGAGGAGATCGCACTCCATGCTGGAATGACGCAAAGAACATGCCGTATCTGCAAGCTGCTCTCTGTGAAGTTCAAAGAGCAGTGACTTTGGTTGTTTTAGCTCCAACTAGCACTCGTCGGGATATAACGATAGCCGGTTACCATATTCCGAAAGGAACCGCCGTTCTTGCCAATCTTAATAAAGCACATCACGACGAGAGAGAATGGCCTGAACCAGAGAAATTTAAACCAGAAAGATTTCTCGATTCCGATGGAAAATTTGTCGGTTGGAGTAAAATTCAACATTTTATCCCATTTGGGCTTGGTCGTAGAGAATGTGCCGGACAGTCATTAGCAAAGATCTTGATGGTTACATTTGCTGCAAGCTTGTTGCATCGATACAAGTTTGAATTGCCAGAAGGAGCAGAAATTCCAACAACAGAAGTTACCGAACCGCATTTGGTCATGCGCCCACAGGATTTTGAAGTGGTTGCTAAGGAAAGATGTGATATGACAATGTAATGCCTAAATTTATAATACTTACTGGTTCGGACAGTCCGCAAGTATACTGACATACTTAATTTGCTTGTGATTTATACTTGTTATGCATTTAATTTGTTACTTGATTCAATTTGATTATTCTCAACAATATTTGCACGTGTATTGTAACATTGAAATAATAAATTTTAGCTTCTCTATGATGCCGTTTCTTCTTTAATTTGCGATGAGAATTACTGAATGTTTATACTGTCAAGGATAAAGATCTTCAAATTGACATTATGCATAATGACGTCACAAGGCGTGATGCGCGCGGAGAATTCTGGTCTTAGTACTCACGACGGGAATAAATCCAACATGGCAACTGTCGAATGCAAGATGCTGCTGTTCCTTGTTGTCTTTTAGAGGCTGTTTAAACCAATGAAGATTCTAGTTCTTCTCAGAAATCTTGCACCGGTCTTCAGAAGTTTAGAATAGAATAGCATAGAATAGAATAGAATAGAATAGAATAGAATAGAATAGAATAGAATAGAATAGAATAGAATAGAATAGAATAGAATAGAATAGAATAGAATAGAAACTTTATTTCACGAGGGAAAACGTATTAACCATAAAAGTTATCTAACATACGGCCCTCGCACTATTTTGATATTTACAGGCATAAAAGTATTAAAGATTACGACTATTTACATATGAGAAAAAATAATTAGTAATGAATACAATTACAATTTAATAAATATTTACAATTTATACAAAATAGATCTTCCATATGGTCAGTATGGTTAAGCTTGTTAAGAAAGGTTTGACTGGTTTGACCACAGAGAACCCATCCCGGGTCTTATGGAAGTTATGTATTTATTTAGCATTAGATAATGAAATTTATAGCTCACTGTTGAAGCATGCGATTTGCGGACTGGTTGCGCTAGCGGGCCCGTTGAATAAACAGTAGAGAAAAAAATAAAGGATTGAAACATCGACGAGTACCGGAATCCATGAAAAGCACAATATCAGTGTGTGTAAACAAAAAGGTCAGAGTTGTATTATGTTATGTTATAATAGTACAATCAAAATAGAAAATAGGTCAGAAAAAATTAGTTAAAAGCCAAAAATTAGCGTATGCACTCTCTTCAGCAACCTTGATAACATACTAAAAGACCTCATGTATCCTTTTGGAGCTTTCTCCATTATGACTAGTTTTTTGTTCGATTTCCCTAGTGAACTCCTATATTGTTAAAATAGTGAAATTTCATATTCATTCATAGGAAAAATAAGTTACATCATTAGAAAACTTACAAAAAACTACATATAAGACATCTCAAAACGGCTACCTTGATTTTGCAAGTTCTTCTTGAGTTATCAGCTGTTGGAAACGTGTTGTCAAACTAGTACCCAGGATTTTTGCCAGATTTTGGCCTATTTTTCACATTTGGAACAGCAATAACTCGAAAACCGCTTGAAAAATTTAGCCTTCTAGTGATGCGAGTCATCTTTGTTATGAGTGAACTTGAAATTTCACGTTTTTTAACAAAATGGAAGTAACAGGGAAATCGAAAAAAACCTTGTCATAATGGAAAAAGCTCCAAGAGGATACATGGGGACTTTTAGTATATTGTTCCGGATAGTTAAATTATTGCATCTAACAATTTTTAGCTTTTTACTATTTTTTTCCAATCTTGGCCTTAAAATGAGCTAAAATTACTGAACTATAAGGTACACTAGGACCTTTCTTTGATATCGTCCAGTTAAATTAAATTAAACCTTCCAAATAGTTGTTAATGGGGATAACTTTTTTGATCGCACAGCTGTGAACGTTTGGATCTGGCTCAAAAGGTTGGAAAGCAGTGAACGTTTGGAAATGTTGCTATGACAGTTTAATTGACATCTGCTGAAATGCTAACTTATTTCCAACTACACACTCATAAATAGTATTCTATAGCTGTTGGCATATTCGAATATAAAATACATATAAACCTTTAAACATGCACATAATATAAACGCAATTTCAAAATCAGCTATCGGCCGGTTCCACAAATTTTCAATCAAATATAAGAATTAACTTACTAGTCAATTGCAATATTTTCGGGATTTTGCAAATTAGTTGCAAATAACAATTTTGTAATCAGAAAGGTAGTTTTAAAATAATTTCCTTTGTTGAAATATATAGAAACTTTAGTAAGTTGATAATTTGTTAATGTCACAGCAACCTATGGCATTTGTTGATGTTTCAACAACAAGGGGGAATTTCGTTCTCGACCAATCAGCGCTTTTGTTTACATTTTTGCCCTAAGCCAATCAGAATGCGTAAAACGCTTCATCACATGAAATTTGTAAACAAACATATGGGGTTACTTCAGAGCTTTTCTACAAACGGTTTTTTGTTTTTTTTGCCATGAAATTCATATATGTTGTTCTTAAAAGAATTCTCCTCAACTTCCTCGTGGCGATATTTGATTAATTGCGTGATTGCGAAGATATGGGTCTTCAAACTTTGCCTTGCGCAAGCTTAAATACCATTCCTCGAATCTGTAGGTTCCGAACGGATTAGCGTTTTTAAAAGCCTTTCAAATCGAGGTTTGAGAGGTTTTATTTTTTAAAAGATACTTTTATCTTCATATTTTCACATTAACTTATTAATATCCTGTGTAACAAGTAAACAGGACACTTCCGGGCCGGGACAAGTTGAAATGTCGATTTCTTGCTAAACAGCGTGGCGATCAATATGGGAATTTTTAAAATTTGTTGGTATAAATGGGCTAAAGAAACTCATCAAATATTTGGACTATGGACCTTCAAACTTATGCCAAGTATTTATTTGATTGATTAGCTCAATAACTGTTTTTTGGTTCGTTTTTCGTCGATTTCGACATTTAGTCGAGCTTAGTCGACTTCAAAATAATGTGTCAACATTGCGTGTTGCAGCCTGTGGATACGAATATTTTCGTTTGTTTGACCATAACACTTTTCTTCACTGTTTTTAATCCTTGAATGACAATATATTCATTGGTCTCAGAGTCCTAAACTTAAGGAAGATGGATGACTTTGGGGCAGATATCAAAATTTTGTTCAGATATCAAAATTTATGGACATATATAGTCACAGAGCATAGTCATAGGACCTCATTGTTTCTTCCTTAATCTGGCCCACTAGTCACAAATGGGGCCTGTTCTTATGACCTGGCTAGGCAGGAGACAACATTTGCCAGTATTGCCGATATGCTATCCTGCTACTATCCTGGCCAAGCACAAGGTATCCGTTGCCAGAATCCCAACTATGCAAGCCAAGAAATTCACCATTTACAGTAAACATTCTATCCCACAACCAGGCAACATGAACTTGCCTTTAGGGTCCCATGCTGCCTAGCCCAGATCATATCAACAGACCCAATTGGAACATTTTAGGCCATAATCTTGTAGAATCAACCAGGTATTGTCAGTAGTATAATATCACCCTGGGCAAGCTGGTCTTGCCCATTTATATGGACTAAATATACACCTGCCCATGGTAAGATACTGCCTCGTATATTAATTTTATATATGTTTGAGATTGCATTCACATGAAACAGCCTGGTTGAATTTATTGGCCCAGCATTTGCTTGAGCAAGTTGATATCCTGCATTGGGAGTCTCACACTAATAAAGGTCATAAGCTGGCCAACCAGCTCACTCGACTAAAAATCATGTTATAATACACAATTTGGCCCAAGTAAGTAAGAAATTGATTAATATAAGCCTTCTGAAGCTGTTGTCATTAACAAATTAACCAGCATTTCACACAAATTTCTTGACAACAGTTGCCAGGTTAGCCTGGCTCCTATGAGGCAAATGACAAACTAGCCCTGAAAAGAAAATCCAGCCATGTTTGCTGGGCTAGCATGGCCCATTTTGACAGCCCTTAACAGGGAGAGCTTATTTTTGGAAGGGAGATCTGATTTTTGGAAGGGAGGCCTATTTGTGAGGTTACTGGGGGCTTAATATTGGATTGCATTATATAATATGTGTAAAATATTCATTTGTGCACAGGTATTCTGGTAATGCACAAATTTATGGAGTAAAATGTTTCCTATTATAGTAGATCGGGATCTATTGGGGACCTGTTTATATGATCTAGACTATCCAGAACACACGCTTGAAGCCTAATTCATGTTGCCTGTTTGGTATACAGTGCTTATTGTATATGGTGAATTTCTTGGCTTACATATAGCCAGGAATCTGGCAATGGAAACCTCACGCTTAGCTAGGCCGATAGTAGCAGGATAGGATAGAACATACTGGCAAATGTCGTCTTCCACCTAGCCAGATAATATGAACAGGGCCCAATTGTGACAAGTGAGCCAGATGAAGTAAAAAAACAATGAAGTTCATATACAGGTATGTCCATAAATTTTGATACCTGAACAGCAACATTGAACAAAAAAATCATTCTGTCCCAATGTCATCCATCTTCCTTAAGTTTAGGACTCTGAGACCAATGAATATATTGTCATTCATAGATTAAAAACAGTGAAGACAAGTGTTATTGTCAAACAAACGAAAATATTCATGTCCACAGGCTGCAACACGCAATGTTCACACATTATTTTGAAGTCGACTAAGCTCGACTAAATGTCGAAATCGACGAAAAATGAGCCAAAAAACAGTTATTGAGCTAATCAATCAAATAAATACTTGGCATAAGTTTGAAGGTCGATAGTCCAAATATTTGATGAGTTTCTTTATTCCATTTATACCAACAAAATTTTAAAAATTCCCTGTATTTAGATATTCGCCATATTGATCGCCACGCTGTTTGGCAAGAAATCGACATGTCAACTTGTCCCGGCCCGGAAATGTCCTGTTTTACTTGTTACACAGGATATTAATAAGTTAATGTGGAAATATGAAGATTAAAGTATCTTTTAAAAAATAAAACGTCTCAAACCTCGATTTGAAAGGCTTTTAAAAACGCTAATCCGTTCGAAACCTACAAATTCGAGGGGTGGTATTTAAACTTGCGCAAGGCAAAGTTTGAAGATCCACATCTTCGCAATCACGCAATTAATCAAAAATCGCCACGAGGAAGTTGAGGAGAATTCTTTTAAGAACAACATATATGAATTTTATGGCAAAACAACAAAAAACCGCTTGCAGAAAAGCTCTGAAGTAACCCCATATGTTTGTGTACAAATTTCATCTGATGAGGCGTTTTACGCATTCTGATTGGCTTAGTGCAAAAATGTAAACAAAAGCGCTGATTGGTCGAGAACGAAATTCCCCCTTGTTAACTGGGTTAGTTTGCAAAGGGTTCCGAGCATGCGCTTGTTTCTGTAGTGTAGCGGTCATCACGTGAGCTTTACGCGCGCAAAGTACCCTGTTCGATCCTGGAAAGAAGCTGCATTTGGTGTTTATTTACAAAAAAAGAATAGAGCAAAATTCTGCATCGCATTGAACTCGTGCTTCACCAGCCAAGTTTCTGTAGTGTAGTGGTCATCACGTGCGCTTCTCACGTGCAAGGTCCCCAGTTCGAACCTGGGAGGAAAGAAAGTAAATGTGTTGCGAAACAAGGCTGTTTATTATCAAATTTTAACTTGCGTACATCATCGGTTGTGAAAAGGTAAACCAATTTTTAAAGACCGTTAATTTGTGACGCGCGATACGGGTTGCACAATCAACTTTTCCTTCTATTGCTTCCATCTGCCCCGTTTTCGCGATCGAAGAGAGAAGAACTTGCGCATTATTTATTACCTTTTCTAGCGTAATCTTCCCTAAAAATTGTTTCATGCTAAACATTTATTAATGCACTGACCGGCAGTCGAGATCTGCCCTACCGCCCAATATTTAACGAAGCAATAAATATGACAGCTGTTTCCAACGATTGATCTCAAGATTGAGTGATGGGGAGAACTCGAGATTCACTGTCAATGTGCTGCTTCAAACTGACACCACGAAGATATTTTTTATCTGATTAGCATTTAATTATTTAAAAATTAATTGGATCGACAGAGCGAATTTCTCTGACTATCAAGTAGTTTTCTCCCAGGTAAAACTTCCACATCTGGGAATGAATTAGCCATGCATTGGCGAACATTTATCGGCATGCAGTTTTCCGTAGTGTAGTGGTCATCACGTGCGTCTAACACGCGCAAGGTCCCCAGTTCGATCCTGGGCGGAAACAAAGGATTGATAGAAAAAGGACAACTTGCCCTTAAACATAAAATTTTAAAAAAGTACTGTAAATGCCAAGTTTGAAGACACTTCCTAAGCTTATTAAGCGTAATGAACAAATTGTTTTTCTGCAACTAAAATTTGCGATTTTCTGTAAAAAAGTATTTTTCAAGCATGTCCAAGATGTAAAACAAACCGGAAGATAAATATTTTTACTTAGTTTACCTTCTGTTTTCTTGTCCAGTAGAAAAGCATCTATTGCAATGAAACTAAAAGCCATTTATCCAACTTTTATCGCGTCATTTTAGCAGTTTCACAGCCATGCTTGCACTAAAGTAACAAACGCAACTGATCTCAAATGTACTTACAGCAACTGGAATTTTATCGGTATCATTATAACCGTGAACTATCAAATAAAAAAATGAACACTTTATTTACCGTTTAGTTCTTTCCATACTAAAAAAAAATTTCCCTTGGCCTCAGAAGCGTCTGACGGACTTCGACCTCGGGCCGCTTTTGAGACCTCGGGAAATTTTTTTTTTTTTGTACCGACCTCGCAGTCGGTAAATAACATATATTTATTTTGTTTCCGCACTAGTGTGAAATATGTTAACAAAACTCAAAATAACAGTAACTCCGAACAACATTTTGGTTTTTAATCAACGTTTCGACTGGTTTGTAGTCATCCTCTGGATTAAGAATTGCACCAATATATTCAACGGCCTCACGAAATAATTTTAAAATTTTCTGTCAGGAGTGGGATTTGAACCCACGCCCACATTAGTGGACCAGAACACCCTTTGGCTGCTCAATAGCAAAGCAAGTATGGAAACTTGAGTCTGGCGCCTTAGACCGCTCGGCCATCCTGACAGCTGATAACCTACGAGCCTACTGTACTTTACATTATTTTACTTTCTGAAATAATGGAGAAAAAATATTTCATTTAAACCAGAAAAATACATCCGACTGCAACTAAATCAACAATCGTTTCTCACATCGCACGTCATTGTTCCTTCAATTGCTTCAAGAAAAGAATCAAAACGGACTTCTGCGGCAGGATTAAATGAATGAATTTTCAATCAATTTTGAACGTTTGAAACTGGGTTAGTTTGCAAAGGGTTCCGAGCATGCGCTTGTTTCTGTAGTGTAGCGGTCATCACGTGCGCTTTACGCGCGCAAGGTCCCCAGTTCGAACCTGGGCAGAAGCATGCATTTGGTATTTTACAGAAAATGAAGAGACCAAAATTCAGCAACGCATTGAACTCGTGCTTCCCCAGCCAAGTTTCTGTAGTGTAGTGGTCATCACGTGCGCTTCACACGCGCAAGGTCCCCAGTTCGAACCTGTGCGGAAACAAAGTAAATGTGTTGCGAAGCCAGGCTGTTTATTATCAAATTTTAACTTTTGGACTTTTAACTATTGCTATGGCATAAGGTAGCCTTCAAAAACACTGTCCGTCGGTACCGATCGTAGGCCAATTCACCATCGGTAAATAGAGATTCTCCATCGGTACCGATGGAGAAATGAATTCACCTTCGGTCAATTTGAAAAGTCCGTTGTCATGAACGTCGCGAATAACTATGTCGATTGCATATGTCTGATGCAGACATATTGAGCTATAAATTTTACGCTGTGCCTGTATAATTAGTGGCCAACGCTCGAGCCTCGAATTTTTGCTATTTTATCTCCTAGACCTAGCATATGTTCAAGGCCCTTAAAGTAGACGGAAACGGTTTCATGTGTATGTGGCGTTCGGAAGTATTCCATAAATTGCTACGATTTGGGATTTCCCGATTGAAAACCGAAATGATTTGTGCGATGTCGGGCTAATTTTTTATTTTTTTTTTTTAATTTATTTTCCCATGTGCATTACAATTATTAATACATTATTACAAATTAACTATTTGGGCTAGAGACCTACTAGAAACCTTTGCAGGCTTTTGTTTCTAGGCCACTAGTCATGTCCTATTTAGATTATTTTATTATTTACAGTAATTTTAAAGATAATATTAAATGCAGAAGAAAAGTTTTACAAGGTATATACAAGATATTTACAAATTTGAGGTATGAAGGGTAAATACTGCAGTGTTTACAATATTAAGATAAAGAGATATACTGAGTTAGATTATTATATGTTTTTTTTGCACAATGCAACAATTGCCAACCGAGCTCGCTAGCCGCTGTTATTTCGACCGAGAATATGATACATCTACACTTTTCAGCCGTAATTTTCAGCGCGCATTGTAATCATATACATATCGTTTAATTTGCTTCAAAAACTTGATAAAAAAACACGTTATTCGTGTTGGTTCCCGCGGAGCCCAATGGTGTCATAGTTGCCAGAGGCAGAGCACATGCAACGCCGCCTCGGTATACATCATGTATGTAACGGGAAATCTTGCTTATTTCAGTCTAATAAAGTCAACCTTTTTTCTTTGATAATGTACGCAACATGGCGTGCATTTTACATTTAACAAAATAAATTTTTGAAGCTAAATTTAACGATATATATGATTACAATCCGCGCATTTGGTATATTACGGCTAAAAAGTGTGGAGGTATCATTGATTCTGTCAAAATACCGGGTGGCGCAAAAAAAAGTATAACTGTTTGATTACATATAGCTCAAAGACCATAAGCAGTAGAACACAAAATCGAGTTTCATTGCATCCAGCGATGTCTAACTTAAATTTTGGTATATTCGACAGGCATTTTCGTCCAAGATTGACTGAGATATGAGTGTTTAAACTTTTGTTAGCAAATTTGAAACGGTCACAAATTAGCTAAAAACGGCCTATTAAACTGATTTTTAGCTAATTTGTGACCGTTTCAAAATTGTTAACAAAAGTTTAAATCTTATATCTCAGTTAATCATGGACGAATATGCCCGTCAAATATACCAAAATTTAAGTTAGATATCGTGGGATGCAATTAAACTCGATTTATGGTTCTACTGCTTATTGTTTCTGAGTTACAAGTAATCAAACAGTTGTACTTTTTTTTGCGCCACCCGGTATAACAGCGGCTAGCGCGCTCGGTTGGCAAGTAGCCCGACATCGCACACTAAATCATTTTGGTTTTCAATCGGGAAATCCAAAATCGTAGCAATTTATGGAATATTTCCGAACGCCACATACACATGAAATGTTTGTCTACCTTTAAGGGCCACGAACATATACCAGGTCTAGGAGATAAAATAGCAAAATTTGAGGCTTGTGCGTTGGCCACTTATACAGCGTAAAATTTATAGCTCAATATGTTTCATCAGACATATGCAATCGACATAGTTATTCGCGACGTTCATGATAGGGACTATGACACTTCCAAAGCTAACAAGACGCTCTGTTGAGCGTTTAGTCGCTGGGGCTATTAAAATAAGGTCTTCTGCGCAGGGCTTCTGCGCTTATTGCTCTCTCTTCTTAGAGCAGTGTATAAGCGTAGAAGCCCTGGGTAGGAGGTTGATATCATTTATTGGATTTATCTGGCTTAGGCCAACTTCGAGGACACTGGAAACCAGGCTTAAACAAATTTACTGCAACTTCACATTTTGACCCTTTAACTGATTTTCTCAAAAAATTTAATCCCCCCCCCCTTCTAGTAAATTATTTATACTCATGGGGTCATGGCCCCACCTTTTGCCCCCCCCCTCCCTCTTCCATAAATAAGGACTGGTTCCTAACTGCAGGAAAAATATGTGCACTTCACAGAACATTTATAACAATTCATAATTTATTACTTTTGCCTCAGGCTGGGTAACCACAACAGAAGTTGCCAAGTAGGCCCTTTGAAGGTAGCTTGCGTGTGAGGCTCGATGCTTGAAATAGATCCTGTTATACCCTGTGAGCAAAGTCCCCTCCTATTTCTTCTCGGCACGGAGAAGCGAGAGAGACTCTGCAGAACTTGTGTATAAATTCACACAAAAATAACAACCAATCAAAATGGCGATTGTTAGTTACGTATCAGTCAATTCCAGCAGTGCCCATCCCCCCGAGGTATTAGCCATTTCTGGGAGGAAAATGGCTATGTCCACAAGCCATTTGCAATCAAATTAAATATCGGTTTTCCAGCAAATCTATCAAATCCCCCATGATGGAAAATGTCAAAATCGTCACCCCAGCGCTAAAAGATATCGGCAACAACCCCACCCCCGTGATTAGGAAAAGCTGCAAAGGCCCAGGGGTGGGAACTGCTGCAATTAATTAATACATTAGATAGTAGTATACAAAGTGGGGGTTCTGGACCGAGTGGTGCGGGTGGTGCACTAAGCACCACCCATGACGCCATCACAGCATGGCAAAATTGTTATCGAAATTAATATATAGCAGAGTTATAGCCGCATCCTTGCTCGGAAGAGATAAATTTCCACATGTATATTGAAGAATTTTTCGTATGTTTACAAAATTATAGCAAGGAACCTATTCGTCACAAAAATCAAGACATATTTTAAACAGAACTAAACAGTTGCTAATCCCAGGTTGTCAACGTCGTTGTTAAGGTCAATATTTGCGTGTTGTTCAACATTATTTAGCAAATCTTCTACATACATATGTACTGTTAATTAAGATAACCGAGCCAGATCTTAAGTAAGCTTATCAAGAATATAATTTAGAATTGGAACAGTTGTAATATATTTTGCGATAAAAAAATGTAGTCGTTATATATGTTGTTATGTGTTGCTCAGTCATTAGCAACGCTTGGGTGCATGCATATATTAACGTACAACATATTTGTACACTAATTAGGCGGGCGGGTCGCGCGGGTAGAAAGAGCAGGCTCTGCAGGCAAAAGTTTGAAAAAGATTTCAGTTTTAAAATACATTTATTACTGTCTAGAGTTATATAAACACACGGAAGCTAGAGGTCATGATATACAATTGTCAAGCGATTTCTACATTTTAGTGCTAGGTTTTTAAAGTACTAAAACTCGGATAAGGTTAATAAATTTAAGCTATATTAAAGCACACCGGTTGCTATGTGTTGTTAGGATGAAACTAATGAAAGGATTACCTTTTATCAGAGATTTGCATTTTCTAATGTAGATTAATACGGGTAGATTAGGATATCCATTGCGCGGGCGTCGCGGGTTATCCGTGCTGGCTTATCCTTGTCCTTATCTTCTTATCTTTATCTTATTATCCTTATCTTTATCTTCCTTATCCTTATCTTTATCTTCTTATTCTCCTTATTCTTAACTTTATCTTCTTATCCTCCTTATTCTAATCTTTATCATCTTTATCTTCCTTTATCTCCCTTATATTTATCTTCCTTATCTTTATCTTCTTATCTTCCTTATCCTTAATAAGCTTCCCGCTATGTTGATATGTTCAACACAACTTAGGCTCGCAGCCGAGCTCCTTAGGCTCGAAGCCAGCTCCTTAATCTTCTGTAAAGCTTCTGTGAAGCTTCTCACAATCTTCAGATTTAATGATTCAATCTTATGATTCAATGATTCAATCTTATGATTCAATGATTCAATGTTATGATTCAATGATTCAATCTTATGATTCAATGATTCAATCTTATGATTCAATGATTCAATCTTATGATTCAATGATTCAATCTAGGACTCAATGATTCATTCAATGATTCATTGTATGGCTCGGAATCCTTATCTTCATCCTCTTATCTCTCTTATCTTTATCATCTTATCTTCCTTATCTTTATCTTCTTATATTCCTTATCTTTATCTTTTTATCTTCCTTATCTTTATCTTCTTATCTTCCTTATCTTTATCTTCCTATATTCCTTCTCTTTATCTTTTTATCTTCCTAATCTTTATCTTATTATCTTCCTTATCTTTATCTTCTTCTCTTCATTATCTTTATCTTCTTATCCTTATCCTTATCCTTATCTTTATCTGCTTATCATGGGTC